TACTGCCAGAACTGCAAACCAAAACCCTCCATCCAGGATTTAGAAATGTGTTGCTGAGTGGAAAGACATGCGTTCTGACCATAAGTGACTTTCTGCTGGTTTCGTGCAAGTTCAGCGAGACCTTAAGAAAATAAACACTATGCGAAACACTAGAGAAGAGAATTCCAGAAAGAGAAAGACCTGAAAACAGAGTTCTAGGAAGAGGGGCTGTGCAGGTTGGATTTTAGTCACGGAGAGGAGGACAGTGTGGCTAGCACACGGGGGAGCAACTTCTTTTAAAAAGGACCAGTTGGTGATCATTTTAAGCTCTGTGGGCCATGCAACCTGGGCTGCAACTGTGCAGTTCTGTCCTTTGAGCACAAAGCAACCCTGGACAACACACAAACAAAGAAACATGGCTGTTGTGCATTACAACTTTGGCTATGGACACTGAAATTTGAATTACACATAATCGTTGTGTGTTACAAAATATTATTCATTTGTAGCATGAATAATAAAAACCCAGAGGCAGGTATTGGGGTTCAAGCTGAAAGATCAGAGAAGCAAAGCAGCCAACCACTAGACAGTTCTTACTTCTACAAAATCTTCAGACTGAAAAGAGAGCGAGTTCCTGTCTCATCCTGCCTTATATTCCTCTCTAGTGCTGGGATTAAAGGTGTTCACTACAACTGTCTGACCTCTGTAGTTGACTAGTGTGGCTGCTGGGATTAAAGGTGCGTGCCACCACTGCCTGGCCTGTGTGGCTGACTGGTGTGGCTAGCTTTCATTCCGATCTTTAGGCAAACTTTATTTATTAAAACACAAATAAAACATCACTATACTGAATGATTTTAAAAAAATGTGAAAACCATTCTTAATAAAATATCACTATACTGAATGATTTAAAAAAATGTGAAAACCATCCTTGGTTCAAGCGCTATACAAAAACAGGCAGTCAGCTAGATTTTGCCTGTACACTGTTGTGTACTGTCAGGGATAAGAAAAAGAGTGTAAGGGAAAGCTTTAGAGAGGTGGGTGGGCCTGGGTTGGAATACATGTGGACCATGTGATGTATTTCAACAACACGTGGTGCATCTGAGCAGAACCAGCTGTTAGAAGCAACAGTAGCAGCGGAGATGCTACTTAAGAGCTTATTCTCACAGATTTTAAAAGAGGGGGATAACACACTGTGGTGGTTTGAATGCAATTGGCATCCATAAACCCAAAGGGAGTGGTACTATTAGGAGGTGTGGCCTTGTTGGAGAAAGTATGTCACTGTAGAGAGGGGCTTTGAGGTCTCCTATGCTCAAGATACAGACAGCCCAGTGTCTCAGTTCACTTCCTGTTGCCTCCACAAGATGTAGAACCCTCAGCTACCTCTCCAGTGCTCTGTCTGCCTGCACACTGCCATGTCCCACCATGATGATAATGGACTGATCCTCTGAGCTGAGCTGCCCAATTAAATGTTGTCCTTTATAAGAATTGCCATGGTCATGGTGTCTCTTCACAGCAACAAAAACCTTAAGACACATACTCAACTGGGAATTAGATCCTCAGCCCCCAAGGAACCGGTCAACGGGAGGAAGAAGGGTTTAAGCATCCAGCATCAGTGAGGAACACCTATGTCACACTCAACCAATAGTTTTTTTACACTGTTTTTCTTTTTCTTTCCTTAGTGATAACACTGAGAGCACTTGTTTTGGTTAAAATTTTTAACCAGTCTCAGAGAAATAGGCCATTCTACAAAAAGTCAGATATTAATAATAAAAACGAACAGACACACTTAGGTTTTGTTATTGACTCCATGTATTCATATGTGTGTACATACTTGCTGTGGTCAGGATCATACATCAACTTCACAAAGGTCAAGGTGCGCAGGTTGCTTGAAGTACATTGTTTTTGGGTGGGACTGATGGTGTTTCTGGGACATCAATGATTGTTGAGTGTTGACTTATTAAAAGAGGTTGTATATAAAGTAATGTGTTTCATTATGATGTTTTCACACATATATGCCAGTATATTTTGTTCTAATTTTTGCCCTCTGCTCAAGGACTTGCTCTTGAGTTCGTAGACGGAATAAAGAAGATCCACCCCAGTGACGTGGGAGAGGCACCCTATCTGTTGAGGGAAGGTCTCAATAAAGCAGAAAGGAATACGGTAAATTCAACTTCTCTATTCAAGAGAGGACACAGCATGCCTGGCCTGCGGGCTTTCAGACTGGGGCCTGCACTGACATCATTATCCTGTTAGGTTCTTAGGTCTTCACACTTGGGTTCATTTGCACCACCAGCTTGGGCCTGGTGTTCGCGTCCCAGGGCCTCCAGTTGTCAATGATAGGTCATGAGACTCCTTAAGCACATGAGCCAGTACCTGTAATAAATATTTCCATACCTGTATATGTATACACACACACACACACACACATATACACATGTATGTATGATGAATGCATATGTGTGTATATATACTCGTACTGATAGACACTGATATGACACACATTCATATGTCATATTAAGGTATGGATATGCACATATATTCATGCTTTGCTGAAGCATATAATAGTGAAACTTATTCTGATTGAAGTGCATTGCAATATCAAAACCATTGAACTTACAGTTGTCACAAGAACACATTCAGTTACTTGCTTTTTCCCCGTTTCAGGTTTATTTGTACAAATAGTACAGGAGACCATCGGCCCCACGTGTACCTCACAGTCCAGGAGTTATAACAGTCCTCTGTCCTCACCTTGGTAAATATAAAGAGTCTCTATGTGGAGCCCTCATGGTGGGCTGGACACCAGAGCGGGAGCTAGTCTCCAGACAGACACTATCAAACATCTGGTCGAATGCTATTTTAGTCCACAGGTGCTCTGCCTTCTTGGCCAGAAGCTAAACATCTGGAGAGAAGATATTTTCTTCAGTTTCCAGCAGATGTTTGGTGTTACGACACAGACGCAGGCATGTAATTAAAGAAACTTGTGAGTGAAATGCTGAGTTAACACATAACTTGAAGGTAATCTTCCATGCACCCTGAGTGTGACCACGAATATTCATCTCTGTCATTACAGCTGCACATCCACTAATGAACGCCCTGCGAGGGTCCAGGAATCCCCTTCTCCGGGCCTTCATCTGGGGACTGTGACTTTTCCCTTTCCTTCTTGGGGATTCATTTGAAGTGTCACAGGGAAATTGTTTTCAATCTGCGGCCTCAGGGGCTAAGAGCTGTGCTACGGATCTTTTGAAGGGCATGAATTATTTTCTGCGTTGGCTCTAGGCTGCCTCCTCTCAGTTCCAGCTTCTACTGGGAAGAAACGAGGCTCATACCTCTGCTAATATCAGCCCTGATTTAGAACCGTAACCGTATTGGGTTATAGTAGCAAATCGGTTTGCCAAGTCGGTGCTCTTTATGGAGGGAGGTGGATCTTTTAAGGTCTGGAACCTTCTGTCACGGTTTCTAAATGCTGGGAGTCAACAATTGATGATGCACATATGCATCCCCCTTTAAATACTCCGCTGTTTCCTTTTCAGCTTTCCTTTACGACTGAGCTCAGCCCCCAGTGCTGGAAGCTGCTGAGCTTTCACTTAAGTGCTTTGCTCTGTTCTAGTGTTCACCATCTGTATGAGGCTGGCATCTGCTGCTATGACATGGTACCCGACAGCCAATGTAAAGAAGTGTGGGGGACACGGAAAGAGAGTCCTCAGTAGCTAGGAGCGCCATTCCCACCCACACTGGGTGCCTCACAGGCATCTGTAATTCCAATTGTTGTTATTATTATTTAGCTCATGGTTCTGATCATTCAAGAGCAGGTTCCAGCAACAGTTGGGCCTCAGGGCAGGACTTCTGGTCACATCACAATCAGGCAAATGGCATTACTGTAGGAAGTCATATAAGAAGAAGAAGAGATGACATGACAAGACTGGAAGCCTGACAGGTCCACGGAACAGGCTTGCTTTTCTTTCCTCTCCTTTCTTATAACAACCCACCATGTTTGTAACCAATCAGGGACCCGAAAGAACCGTACTGAGTCTTGAAGCTGACAGCGAAGACTAAGCCAGCTTTCACTAGGTCCCACCTTTGAAACGTTCTACCTTCTCTCTGCCCTGCACCCTGGCACCAAGTTTCCCAGCACACGAGTCTGTGCTCAGGAGCTTGGGTGGGAGGGGTGGACACGTAGCCATACACGCTGAGGTTATAGCCAGCCCTTGTCTGTGACTGTTTAGCTTTGTGTTTGCCCTGATAAGTGTCCCATCAATGAAAGAAGCATCCATCTCTTCCTGGTGAGTAACTGTCCAGATCTGAACGTGGGATGTGGACTTCCTAGCTGTGCGGAGCAGACAGGTGCATGACACTTGGTTTTCAAAGCATCTTCAGTAGCCTGGACTCTATTAGCTGTTTGCCTCCTTCCCTCAACTGCACTACCTGAGAAGGATGCTATGCTCTTCCTTAAAGATGGTACATATGGGATGTTTTGCCTGTACGTATGTCTGTATACCACATACATGCCTAATGACCATAGAAGTCAGAAGGCGGTGTCAGATACCCTAGAACTAGGGTTACAGATGATTGTGAACCTCCATGGGGGTGCTGGGAAGAGAAAGCAGGTTCTTTAGAAGAACTGTAAATAGTTTTTAACCACTGAGCCATCTCTGAAGCCTCTGATTTGGACTTTAAAACAATTATATATTTGGGCTGGGCATGATAGTCCATGCCTTTAATGCCAGCACTTGGAAGGCAGGGGCAGGTGAATCTCTGTGAGTTTGAGACCAGCTTTGTCATAATAGTGAGTTCCACACAGGTCAGAGTTATATAGTCAGACTCAACTGGAGAAATGGCTCAGAGACTAAGAACGCTTGCTGCTTGTGCAGAGGATCCAAGTTTGGTTTCCAGCACCCACACCTAACAGACTACAGTTGCTGTAAACTCCAGCAGATCTGAGGCACTTTTCTGGTCCCCCCAAATACTTCTCCCACACACATGGCGAGCACTCACACAGACACATACACACAAATAAAAGAGAACTCTTTAAAAGGTTTATGCTTTATTAGTGTGGGCACATGTGTGCATGATGTATGTACTGGGTAGGGTGCATGTGTGCAATGGCATGTATGTGGAAGTGAGAGAATTTCGTCCTGAAGTCAGGGCTTTGTAGGTTCCAGAAATGGAGCTCAGGTTGTCAGGCCCAAGTAACATGCGCCTTTACCTACGAGTCAGCTTGTCAGCTCCTTGAACTGGACTTCTCAGAATCTAGTAATTGAACTTGCACATAACTGAAGTGAAATTAAGAACTAGAATAGACTTTTTCATTGTGATTAGATTTCCTTGAACTCTTTCAAATAACACACTTAAAACACGGTGCTTAAGTTTTGAACGCGAATTATGTTATTTTCATATTTTGTGAGCATCGAATTCCAGAAACTGTGCTTGTCTGTATTTATTTCTTACATGTCACAGACGTTCCTTCGGGAGTGAATATTTAAAAGGAACAAATGATTTTGAAAAATAGCTAAGACATTATAAAGCAATTGCAGGAAGATGATCTTTAGTGTAACTTGAAGATATATGGATTTTAAACACCGTCGAGTACTGTGTGCATGGTATCTTGGATGTGGGAGCTCAGTGCTTTCTTTTTGAATACCGTGGAACAAACAACTAAAGGTTTTAGGGAGTTTACATAAAATTCATAAAAGTGCTATGGAGTAAATTTCTGAAAAAGAATCCCAGATTTTATGTTGTTTAAAATGAAATCAATAATCAAGTATTACTTTTAAGTTGAAAAATAATTTTCATTGTACATGGAAATCATCAGGCAAGCAGAATAGATGGTATGGGGGCAAATGGGAAAGTTCCAGAAGAAAAGGAAGTAATTTATTCAAAGAGAACTGTTGACATTTTGAAGAATTCCTTTGGGTTTATGAATGATATTCATTGAGGTATTCACATAAAAATTTAATTTTGTGTCCACTGTCACACTTAGGTTCATAATGAACGAAAATGTTCACAAATGAGAAAGTGTTTATGTGATCAGATGTAAGTACCATGAGAGATGACAGGGCCAGTTTCTCAGTCAGGGAAAAGAATCCAGCAGGACATTTCACGGCAGCATGGCTGGCATCAGCCGCAGGTATCGTGAAGCATGCGCTGTGATTCAGCCAGTTTCACATGACTGAAAAGTCCTCATCCAGAAAGGGACAGGAAACAAATAAAAGGGAGATAATATGGGGATACTGTGAGCAATGATGGGCCCGTTAAGCTGGTAATCCTGACATGGCTGGGCTCACTTCGTGCGGTCCTAGGTTCACCCCATAGAACTCCATCAGTGTTGCCCATGCCTGCACAGCCTTGTGCGGCTTGGTTGGAGCACTTCCTTCTGCTTTACGGTGTCTTGGACGTGGCTGGTTGTGTTTTCTTTCCTATCTCCTGCGATCTGGAATTGAAGGGTGACTACTGGATTGTAATAGTTTATCTCTTTATCTTCTGCGTTTCAACCAACAGCCTCTCTTTCCCAGTCCAGAACTGCAATGTTATCAAACAGGTAAAAAGGAAACCTATTTGGTTAGAAATGAGGGCAAACCGACAGCCGTAGAGGCGTGCACCTGTAACCCCAGAGCTTTGGCGGTGGAGGCTACATAACAAATTTAAGGCCAGTATGGACTTCTCCAGGCCTAAGTTCAAAACATACATCAAGAGTGGAGCTTAAAGCCAGAATCCATAGTTTGAAAATCAAAAATAAACAGTTGTTAAGTTACGAAGTTCCACCTATGTCAATAAAATTTAAAAATTGTAGGAACTATTACAAAAAGATTTTTTTTTCATGGGAAAAAAAAATCCGAACAATGTTAGAAATCAAACCATACCCCGGAACCACTATAATTCTGGAATGAATATTGATTTTTTTTTTAAAAGTCATGACACAATCTCTAAAAATCATCACTTTTTACCCAAAAAAACTGAGGACAAAGTGTATGCCTGAAATTTGCCCCCCCCCCCCCCATAAGGTTACTTGGGTATGTGGTGTAAAGCCATTAATTAAATTCACTTCATTTACCCATGGAGAAGGAAATTAGAGGAGAGTAGACAGAAATGAGTATTCTGCCCTACGAACTTATAAGACAGAATTGAAAACAATGACCAGAAAACAGTGTTTCAGCAAATTTCTCAAGTCACGGACAGAAAGGCAATTAGGAGCAGTTGCGAATTCCTCCAAAAGGCCGGCAAGTTGAGAAATTTCTTTGATGCTCAAGAGGCGATTGGGAAATTGACAGCATGATTTTGAAACCATAGGTGGATCCCACGCAGACCCCTTCACAATTCCCTCTACCCACGGAATAAAATCCAGACCCGTTGCTAGCTCTGTTCACCTCTTGCCACATTCCACGTCTTTCCAACCCCTTCTGTCAACTCCCAGAAGATGGTTCAAGGTTAAACCACGCCCCCGCCCCTATTTACATGCCAAAATCTACCCAGTAGCCTCCAGTACCCAGAATATGACCTTATATTTACTTATTTGTTTGTTTGTTTAGAGACAGGGTCTTTAGGTAATCCTGGCCCAGAACTTGCTACATAGACCAAGTTAACTTTAAATTTCCAGAGACCTGCCTACCTATGCCTTAAGATAGCTGGAATGATTGGCATGTAGCTCCCCGCCCAGCCTTTAGGAGAGTGCTAAGGATATGAACCCTGGTCCCCATGCTTTTGAGGGAAGTACTTCACCACCTGAGCCAGGTCTCAGCTCTACTTTGCTGCCTTGAAGTTCCACATCTGAAATCTCTCTCCTTAATCCCCAAGGGCATCACAGCAGTCTTTCCAATGAGCATCGAGATAAAGCTAGGGACCCTTCCTCAGGCAGCTTTAGAGGCAGAGGCTGAACCCCTCCCAGTTACTTGGGAAGTGATTCCAAAACACATCTCATGACGTCTTTTGAAGTTGAAAGGCTTCTCTTTGGACAAGAACACTCATCACACACAGGAGAGAGGGAGAGGGGGAAAGGAGAAGGGAGGAGACACACACACGCGCACACACACACACACACACACACACTCATGCACACGCAAAGAGAGATGGAGGAGAGGGGTGAGGAGGAGGGAAAGGGAGAACTACCTTGGAAATTTTAGAGTTATGTTTCCCTTTTATTCATCAGAATATTTATTACTAAGCATTGGGCAATATATTACCCAATGTAAACTCATGATTTTCCTGATTTTGTAACAGACTAAGCTCTGTTACTGTTTCTAGTGAAACAGTAGTGAGCAAACATGCTCAAAAAATGTCTTCAATGTGTTGGTAGTTTCACAGAACTGCACATCGTTGAAGTTCTGTTGTCTTTGCTAGAGTTTAGCCTTTAACCCGGCTGTCTTTATTCACGTCTTAGATGTCCCCGGAAGGTTCTTTGCAGCGCCGGTCTTACCTTTATGTGGATTATGGGCTCTGGCAAGTGTGGAACCCTCATCTTCTTCTGCTCTCCCCTCACCCTGAATTTTAAAACCTCAGAGGAGAGCCCGGGTGGCCAGCACAGAAGTGGTACCAGTGACTCTGTGGACAGATCCGGAGCCTTCGCTGGCAGTCTGCTGAGGGTCTCTGACTTCATCTCAGATGTGTTTATATTTACCTGAGTTAGCGTGCCACATATTGCACCTTCTCAGAAGCATGATGTACAATTCTAGGTGCTGCTATAATAGCTGGAGGCCACGGCCCTGCCATTACCGAGATGCTACAATGGAAATGAAATAGGAATTGACTAGACTGTAAAAAAGATGACAGGGGCTCTCTTTCTTTCATTCACTGCTATACAGCCAGTGCTAAGGGCAGCCAGCAAATAGTTGCTAATTAAATGATTAATTATTTTGTTTAAGTATCTCACTTGTCTGCAAGATAAATTAAAAGCCCATTCAAAAAGGGACTCAGAGTGTATCTCCAATTTGTCCCCCTCAGTCAACATCAACTGTTTAAAAAACCAGTGTCTTTTCCTCAACTTTCCCAAAGAGAAAGAAAGCACTATCAAGACACCCAGGGAGATTCTGTAGGACATCCACTCTGCAGATGAAATGAAAAACTCAGTCCCCAAGGAAATATTTTAATTTCATCATTCAGCAAATGACACTTTTCTCACAGACTATCAAAAACATTCTTTTGCTATATTGACTAATTTTCTGCAGAGATTTATGTGTGTGTGTATGTATCATCAAAGAGCCAAGAAATATTTTGTGACTAGGTGTATCGATACCATGTGGATGCTCTGAGTCATTTTATAGCTATGATTGGTACTGGCATCTCATCAAGGGCATAAGAACATGGTGCTATTCACCCTATATTTTGTGAGTTAAGGGTCTGGAAAATTGCAGGCAATACAATTTTGTCTGCCTAGGGGTGCAGACAAGGGGTATGTGTGTGTGTGTGTATGTGTGTGTGTGTGTGTGTGTGTGTGTGAGAGAGAGAGAGAGAGAGAGAGAGAGAGAGGTGGGGATGGCTGTAATATTTCCCAGATTTCTGGCTCTTGATAAAATGACAAATCTGAATTTGTAGAAAAAGATGTTATGAGTTTACTTTTAGCCTGCAACCCCAGAACTTGTGAGGCTGATCAAGGACAATTCTGACTTCCAGGCAGCCTGACTGACATGGTGAGACCCAGCCTGTGTTTTCCTTGTGTGAGCATTGACCTGAATTGGATATATATGTATCTCATAGGCATCTAGGAGGTAATATGACTGTAGCTCAGAGTTTTACTTTGAAATCATCACCAAATATAGATGTTTCTCAACTTATAAGAGGCCTGACCCTCAGAAACCCAACACAAATGGAAACACTATACCCTGTAATGCACTGGATATACCAAGCCTAGGGACAGTTACAGTTTAGCAACTAGTAGTACATTGCAGGGTGTGGGCTGTTTCACCTGGTGATCTTGGGGCTGATTAGGAGATGAGGATGTCTGCCTTGCTCAACATGGCAACAAAGTATTATACTGCATAGTGCTAGCCCAGTAAAAGGCCAACATTCAAAATTTGCAGCAAGGTTTCCACTGAGTCCTTGTTGCTTTTGTGCCACTGCATCATTGGAAAATCAAAAGAACGACTGTTAAGTTGAGGGCCACCTGTAGTGATAGCTGAGGTTTGGGGCGTGGAGGAAGACACCCAAAGAGAAAGAGCACATAAAATGAGAAAATAGGGGGGTTGAAGATAGGGTGCTGGGAAGCATCATAATTGAGGGGGCTGGCAGAAAAACAGGAGGCAGCCAAGAAATGGAACAGGACAGAAAGATATCACATCAGCCTGGAGGGGGACGGGAAGTGCAGTCTGCACGTGAAACAGTGAGCGGATGAGAACTGGAAACAGCACATTTGAAAAATTACTAGTTGGAAGTATGTACAAATACTGGTAAAACTATTTCTGAGGGTAAAATTTTAGGTCCTACCTGGCCCCTGTGTGTGTGTATGTGTGTACATTCATGCACATGGTGGGGGCCAGATTTCATGTCCTCGCTCACATAAGGAAAACACTAACAGCTGAGCTACATCTTCAACCTTGTTTCTTCAAGCCAATGTCTTACCTAGAACTCAGGACCGACCTCCCTCGGCCTCACAAGTGCTGGGATTAAAGTTGTCTGCTATCATGCTCAGCAATGCTATTTTCTTTCAGTGACTCTACATTTTCTGACTTCCATATGATGGTAATCAGTTACATTTGTATTAAAATGTTATTAAAGGGGTCTGGAGAGATGGCTCACCGGTTAAGAACACTCACTACGCTCACAGAGGACCCAGGTTCAGTTTTTGGTTCCCAAACACAGACTCACAACCACCCATAGTCCAGCTCCAGGAGATCTAATGTCCTCTTTTGATTTCTGTGGGCTCTATGCACACACACACTGCACTTACATGCACACAGGCAAAACCACTTATACATATAAAATAAAGTAAATGAATCATTTAAAATGTTATTGAAGTATAAAACAAACGCCGAGACAGTCTAGCCTGTTCTGTAAGAAGTTACCGACAGGAACAAGGAATTGTGAATCTAAAAATATCTGACCATGGATGTGCTGGGCCCCAAGATAATGATAAACAAGGAACGTAAGGATGACTCTGATGTTCTACACAAAAAGGAAGCCAGCTGGCTTAGCAAGGGAGGGGCGTGGGTCCTGGAGGGTGCACTGGCAGCACATGAGGTTAGATGGCAGTCTGCCACCACACTAAAATGACTTTATGTGTCTTACAACTAGTATGGCCTTTATTCTGAAAGCTCCAGATGGGTTTCGGAGCGGCTGAGAGAGAACTAGACTTGGGCTGGAAGCGAAGTAAGTTTCTGCTTAACTTTGGTAACAACGTGTCTATTGATGTGTCGGAACCCAAGAAGGCAACTGGGCAGGGGTCTCGGAAGGCAGTGCTCTCGGGGTGTGCCTTAGCCAGAGACACTGGGGCATGGCATCCATGTGTGAAGAGGACATGATTGATTGTGATTGGATGTATACTGATACGAGTGATTGGATGGACGGATGTTGTGGGAAGGAAGATGTCAAAGACAACTAAAAAACCCAAAACAGTCCTAGCCAACTTTTTGTTGCTTCTCAAAGACCACACATGATTAGGACATCACTCTTCCTCAAACAGTGAGGTCAGGCTGCACTAAGTGTAGGCAGGTCCAGATCCTGATCGAGCATCTAGTGAAGACTCATGGATGGGAGGACAGTCTTCAGAAGCACACAATTGGGATGCTTTCTGTACCCAGCAATGGGGCTTCCAAGACTGGCCTCTGTGCATGGCCATAAGTCATTAGGATGCTGGGTAGAAACTTGTGGGCACGTCCTGTCTGGCTCCCCTGAGTGTTTGCCACTGAGGCAGCTACTGTCATGGACACCAGCAAGGTAACATTGATTGGTCCCATCAGACCTCATTGTTTCTTTCTCTACTTGGGCCTGCACATAAAAAAATGGTGAATTGAGCATGGAATGAGCCAGAATTTCAGAAGGACACCTTTCTTCCCTTCCTCTCCTTCTTCTAGGGAAGAGAATACAGTTGTCTGGGTACAGATGAAAATAAACAGATGCCGATAGCACACACCTATAATTTCAAAACTGGAGAGCTAAAGCAGAGACATCTTAGGTCCAGGACTACTTGGGCCACAGTTATGGCTAGCCCGGACTTCTTTAGATAGGAAGATCCGGTCTGAAAACAGAAAAACACACGAACAAACAAACAAACAAAAATAAAACAAGCAGAACAACAGCCGCAAAGAAAACAGCACCGAGCAGGGGCTGTCGAGATGGCTTGGTGGGGGAGACTGCTGGCTGCGAAAGCATGGAGAGTTCAAATCCCAGTTCTCACTTGAAAAGCCAGGCCTGGCTGTTTGCCCACTTAATTCCAGCGCTGGGGCTGGGGAAGATTGCTGGAGCGGCTGGCTGCCAGTCTCGTTCTAGGTTCAGTGAGAAACCTTGTCTTAAAGCAATACTGTAAGAGAATGACAGAACAGGACACTCTGGCCTCTGTGCGTGCATAACTTGCGCACACACAAACACACACACACACATGTACCACATGCGCTCATGTACAGACAAAGCAGGCAAGCAAAGAACGGTCAGCAGTTATTAGGTTTTTAACTTAGGTGCCTGGTAGATAAAGAGGGACAACCATCTTGCAGTTTGTACACTCTCCTGGTTATTGATGTAGGACCTATGAAAGCAAGGTTTCTACAGTGTTATTAGGGGAGGGGTAAAGGACGATGTGTACACAAGGGAGATCTATTTTTGAGACAAGGCAGAGTCCTTAATCTTGCTGTTTTCCTTTCACAAGTCCATGGATACTTTCCTTTCTCCTGTCGGTGGGACCCAGCACTTCGGTGACAAGCAGGAGACAGAATTAGTTTTCAGATGTGCACGCCTAGGTCGTTACAGTCTCCTAGGATGGGACTTTCCCTAGTGGTTAGAGAAGGCTGATGAAATGGTAAACCAAGGTACGAAACAGGTGTAACTAAATGTACCGAAATACTTTTAAAGTTAAATGACCACAGAGGAGGAGGTTCCAAGGGAGCTGGCCTAGGAGAGCTAATGGGCAGCAGCTGTTGCGCCTGTCATAGGTACCGGACTGCCTTGAATTCTTCATCAGGTCCATTGTACAGCATGGAGGGCAGCGGCCAGGGATGTCCAGCTAATAAAAGGGTCGAATATGGGCTTGGCTAGAAGTAATCTGTCGCTTTAAGCCTTCCCTCCAGGGCCAGCCACAAGCAAGACATTTTAAGTTAAGTAACGCACAACCTTAGCCATCTCAGTAAAGGCGTGAGGTAGCTAGGGGAAGGCCTTTCTAATCATCCTAGCTCTCACACAGAATGCCAGGCTGCCCCCCACCCCCCAGTAGACCAGTAGGAGACGCAATAAAGTCGGGAGGAAAGTAATGCCCTCTTTTCAGCTGACTTCGTTCCTTACATTCCTTTGCAGCGGGCGACTTTCCAAGAGGAGTTTGTGTGTGCAGCCCGAGCACAGAGGTTCTGAACACTCAACCCACGGGTCAGGAAGGGTCGCCAGGCTTCCCAGGCCTCCCCCACCCCGGTCGGTGTCCACCTTCAGGTTGGAAGCAGAGTCAGGTAACTGCTTCCTTCCCTATGGCCACTAGCTGGTGGCCAGATCCCCAGCCTGCGCCTGGCCCGCCACTTCTGAAGTCCCCACTCCAGCCTGGCCGCGGTGAAAAGCGAGCGCCCCTCGGCGCGATCCACACACTCACGAGCTGCCGCTTGTTGCTCCCCCGCAGCCGCGACGTGGGGAAGTGAAAATGAAATTGACTTTTCCGAGAAATGATGAAAGCCGCGCTGCCCGCCAATGAACAGCGGCGGCGAACTTCCGCACCTCCCGGCTGGCGGCTGGAGCCCTCCCTCTGCCTCCACCTCCGGGTTGCACAAGCTTGAAACAAACACTGGGGAGGAAGGGCGGGGAGGGAGGAGGGCGGAGGGGGAGCGAGGGAGGGAGCGGGGCCGGGAGAGGGCGGGGGTGGGGGGATTTCCAGCCTCGGCTCCTCGCAGTTTCCTCTCCTTGTTTTGCTTTCGATCTGGACTGTTCTCAGGCAAGCCGGGGAGTAACTTTTAGTTTTGCTCCTGCGATTATTCAACTGACGGGCTTTCATTTCCATTTTACACACCCTAACAACACTTACACCTTGCGGAATTGTATTGGTAGCGTGAAAAAAAGCACACTGAGAGGTAACATTTTTTTCAAATAATAGTTGTGACTGTGCGTGTGTTTTCTCTCGAGGGCATGTTGATGGGGGACAGGAGGAGCTCTGTATGTATGTGCGTCCTGATGCTTTGACACGATGTTTTGCAGACGGAAAATGCCGGGGTTCATAAATATTAATACCGATTTTTGGAGGAAGAGTCGGCGCAGTTATGGATCATCTGATTTTAGGGGAAGCAGGGTCTGCTGCTGTTGCTGCTGGTACTGGGGCTGCTGAGGCTGCAAGGAGGAGGAGGAGGTAGAGAGGGAGGAGGAGGTTAGTGGAGGTTTAATTTCACTTTTGGATTTGCAGATGCGAAGAGGTGGCTCCATGGACATAGAGCTGCTCTGTGTGATTCTGCGCCCCAGGTGTCGTGCGTTGTGGGTGCTGGTCCGCTGGAGTCGGGCCTCATTTAAAATAATATTGGGTTGTGTGTCTGTGTGTGCGCGCGTGTGCGTGTGTGTGTGTATGTGTGTGTGTGTGTGTGTGTGTGTATGTGTGTTTACAGACACTGTCGCCACCAGGTCCGAAGAAGGGAACGGGGTTCTTCTCGGTGCCCGGCAGCCCTTCTCTCCGGGCAGTCTCTGGTGTAAATAGACTGGCACCCGCGGTCCCCAGATACCCATGCCCGGGTAGTAGCCACAGTAAACTTGATGGGTGCCATGAGGCGCTCCCGGGATGCGCTCGCCCGCGGGGCTCCGGATCGGGTGACGGGCATCGGGTGCCAGCGGCCACTCGGG